CGGGGCCGGGATCCGGGCCGGGGTCGGGGTCCGAGCCGGGGCCGGAGCGGGCGGGCGCCAGGTCCCCTGGCCCCGCCACGCCGGGCCACAGCTTCCGGAAGGTGACGCTCACCAAGCCCACCTTCTGCCACCTCTGCTCCGACTTCATCTGGGGGCTGGCCGGCTTCCTGTGCGACGGTGAGCGCTCGTGACCCCATCGCAGACCCCGGTCCCGGGCCAGGCAGGCACCTCCCCGCTGACCTCTGCACTCCCAGCAGTGGCCTCCCCAGGACAGAGCCCTTGCCCCACGGGGCAGGAGTGTGCCCGGCCCAGGCCCTCCCCATGGAGATGACGAGGATCACTCCTCCAGGGGCCTGGGGGCGTCAGGTGGCCGCGCCCCCCCCCACTCCCCCCAGCACTGTGGGGTCTCAGAAAAGAACTGCTCCCTGGGCTTTTTCACCTGGGTTGGGGTCCAATGGGGCAGGGTGAGCAAGGGGCAGGTGCCTGAGTGTTGGGGTGAGGCCAGCCCACCCTGAGCAGGCAGGACTCCTTCCCACCCCGGGGGGGGGGGGGGGGGGCAGCAAGGGGCAGCGGTGTGGCCAGGCAGGGCTGGCCTGGGCCCTGTCTCCTGTGCTCTGGTGCCTGTCTGTTCTCACCCTGCGTGCACGCTGCTGCCCACAGGGGGCGAGTGCTGGCGCTGCTCTGGCTCAGACTCCTGGAGAGCCGGGCCGGGGCCTGCCCGAAGTGCGGCGTGCCCCAACAGGGCTCCCACCCAGCTGCCAAGCCAGCCGGCGGGGTGAGGAGGCTCCCCCTCCTCTGGCTGCTGGGCAGCTGGCGAGCCTGCTTCAGGGTCTGCTCTCTTTTAGTCCTGCTCTCTTCTGTAGGGCAGGTGGGTGGAGGGCCTTTGACCTGCTCAGGGAGACAAGTTCTGTAGACAAAGAGACCGCTCAGGCTGCGGTCTGCAGAGGAGGCTTGGCTGGGTCTGGGTAGAGGAGGCTGGACTCCTCACATAGGATGCCTTCTCCCAGGGGAAATGGCCTGGTTGTCCTGACCCCCAAAGGCTGTACCAGGTGGCCTGGCAAGCTGGCAGGGGTGTGGTCACCCCTGGTTTCTCAGTCAGATCAGAAAATTACACTGCCCTGCCTGGCTCCTGGGGATGCCAGGAGGCTGACTTGAGGTGGGAGACAGCCTTGTGCAGGCTGAGTCAGCTCCAAGTCTGAGGCTAGACCCAGGGCCCCCACAAAGGTGAAGGGGGTGAAGGCCAAGCTCCAGGTCTGAGGCTAGACCCAGGGCCCCCACAGGTGAGGGGGAGTGAAGGCCAGGCTCCAGGTCTCAGGGGCTCAAGAACCTTCGGCCTGGTCCTGGTGTGAAGCAGCTCATGGAAAGAGGCTCTGCCTGGGGCATGACGTGGAGGCTTCGCCAGGCAACTGTGTGGACGTTCTCCCCACCTCGGTGGAGAACAGGCTGGTGATCTCCACCAACAGAGGGACCTGACCAGGATGTAGAGGAAGAGCCCCCTACCCCGCCAGGGAGCACCCAGGATGTGGGGCGTGGGGTGATCGGGCGCTATCTCTCTGGGCCAGAGGAGGAAGCTGGGCACTGCTTGCCCAAAGCTGCTGCCTTCCGCGGCAGAGCGAGTCTGGGTGCCCGGGGTGGGGGGGGGAGCCCTTCTCTGGGCCTCCCCACTTCTCCCCACTTCATCCGACCACAGCCCACTTCTGGAGTTTTCTCTGAAGCAAGGCCTCAGGGCTGCTCTTGCCAGCCTGGAGGAGCTCATCTGCCTCCGCCTGGGGACTGGGTGGGTGGGCTGCAGCCAGTGGGACAGGGCTGCCTCGAGGTCTCCGTGAAATATAGTTTTCACCCAAGGCTGTGTTGGGGAGTGGGCCCCACTGCTGCCTGCCCACTTCCCAGCCCCCTGGGGCCTTGTCCATCCCGTCCCACCCCAGTGCTGTATGTGCCCCCAGAGACCATTCCGGCCACTCCTCGCATCCTCCACCCACTCCTGTCCACCTTTGGGTCCGTCTTCTGGCTGAGCCTTAGTCTCACTGGGCCTCCCCAGGACAGGTGGGGGTGCCCCCCTGCTGCTCCCTTGGGCCTCACGAGCACAGTGCACGTCTGAATGCTCACTGCCTTTGGAGCCTCTGGGCTGTCTGCCCCTCTGGCCGGGGGCAGGACAGGTGCAGCCCTCACTAGGCCAGCCATCCCGCCTGCCTTGGGGGTCCCGGCCCATCACAGGATAGCTCTGGGTCTCGGCAGGCATACAGTGTGTGTGTGCAGTTGTGGGCAGTGAGGGAAGGGTGTACTTGGTGAAGCTGGTCTGGGTGATGTGCAGAGATGCAGGAGCTGGCCAATTGCCCACCTGCCCGCCTGCCTGCCCCTCGTGGGTGACCAACTGCAGAGATGGGAAGGAGAGCTGGACCTGCATGTGGGGGGCAGGAGCCACGTTCAGGACACCAGGACACACCGTCATCCAGGACGGTCAGAGCCACCTAGGCCCCTGTTCCCTGCTCTGGGCTCTCTTGGGATGAGGGGCAGGGCAGAGGATCAGGGCATCCATGGCGCTCTAGGGGGAGGCTTTGCTGTGCCCTTCCTCTGTCCCCTGGAACTGCCCCCCATCAGCTGTGGCAGAGTAGGCCCACTGTGATGGGTGCTCTGCCCTGTCACAGAACGCTGGAGACCCGCCACAGCCCCTGGCGGTCCTGCTGGTCGAAGCCTCCCTTCTGCATGCCAAGCCCTGGGGTCTCTTGATTCCTGGACAGGATAGGGGCCAACTCATGCAGCTCTCATTCCCACAGCCTGCAACTTCATGTCCCATGAGAAGTGCCTGAAGCATGTGAAGACCCCCTGTACAAGCCTGGCGCCCAGCCTGGTCCGCGTACGTAAGAAGTGTGGCTGCCACACCTCCCGGCAGGGGCAGAGGGGCTGGGGAGGCCGGCTTTTGTGGCAGGTCCTGGGCTGGGAGTCAGGATGGCGGGTTGGATGGGGTGGGCGGTGGGACCAGCCTGGGGGGCTGGGATGTGCTGGTCTGGGTTCCCGAGCTGCCGCCTGCATTCCTGCCTGTGAGCCCCTCCCAGGGCAGCAGCCGGGCCTCACTTCCCTCTGGTTCCGACCCCATCTCCTCTGGGCTCCCTGGCACCCAGCACTGCCCCTCCTGCCTGGGGGTGGGCCTCCCTCCACCTGTGCTTCATCCAGGTCACCCCAAATGTATCATGGGAGGAACAGGCCGGGGAAGTGGTCAGTGCCTGTGATCCCTGGGCAGTGCAGCTGGATCAGGTCTCGACAGGACCAGTAGGGACCTGCAGAGGAGCAGGGGTGTCCCCCATGGAGGGGGCTGCCTGAGATCACAGCCCGGGCAGCCCAGCATTGGTCCTGCACAGAGTGGGGAGGTGGGCGTGCTTGGTAGTCCCCAGCAGGACCCCTCGGGGGCACCCACAGCACTGTGTAAATAGTGTTCGGGAGGATTTGGGGGTGTTGCAGGAGTCAGGCATGTGGCATGGGGTGGTGATGGGAGCTCTCAGGAATGTGGAGGAGGACGGTCTGCAGGACCTGGATGGGCGGCAGATTGGGGTTGAGGCGCCAGGCGGGGATGCCCCAGGCTGGGGATGCCCCAGGTTGAGGCGGCGCTCTGCTTCCTCCAGGTCCCTGTGGCCCACTGCTTCGGCCCCCGGGCGCTCTACAAGCGCAAGTTCTGTGCCGTGTGCCGCAGGGGCCTGGAGGTGCCCGCGCTCCGCTGTGAAGGTACTGCCCGGGCCTGCCGGCTCCCTTCGGGTCCGAGCCTCTCCCCAACCTCCCGGGCCCTGGTCTCTGCCGCTCAGGGTGGCCCAGCACTGCCCTCGGCCGGGCGCTGGTCAGGGGTGGTGGGCGGGAGGCGGGCTGGTGCTTTAGGGGTGGGCATTTGTGGCTTCAGAGCTGCCTGGGCGGTCAGGTGCAGGGCACAGGGGTGCAGGCCGCGAGTTGAGAAGGGCCAGGCAGGGAGAGACGCGGGTGGCCGGTCCCCTCCCCGAGAGGTGGGGGCTGTCCCTGCCCCGCACATCGGGGGCAGAAAGGTTAAAGAAAGCCTGGCCATGGGCCGGCCCCGTGGCTTAGCGGTTAAGTGCACGCGCTCCGCTGCTGGCGGCCCGGGGTTCGGACCCCGGGCGCGCACGGACGCACCACTTCCCCGGCCATGCTGAGGCCGCGTCCCACATACAGCAACTAGAAGGATGTGCAGCTATGACATACAACTATCTACTGGGGCTTTGGGGGAAAAACTAAATGAATAAATAAAATTAAAAAAAAAAAAGGAAGCGTGGCCAGGGTGAGGGTGAGGGCGAAACCCAGACCGGAGCAGAGGTGCCAGCGAGAAGGGAGCGGGGCCGTGGGGAGAGGCGAGAGGCCCCTAACCCTGCCCGCCCCCCAGTGTGTGAGCTGCACGTTCACCCCGACTGTGTGCCCTTCGCCTGCAGCGACTGCCGCCAGTGCCACCGGGACGGGTACCGGGACCACGTGAGTACGGGGGGCCAGGGGGCTGGGGGCCGGGGACTGGGCGGCTGGGCGAGCCCGCTGACGGCCCCCTCCCCAGGACACGCACCTCCACCACTGGCGAGAGGGTAACCTGCCCTCCGGCGCGCGCTGCGAGGTCTGCAGGAAGACGTGCGGCTCCTCCGACGTGCTGGCCGGCGTGCGCTGCGAGTGGTGCGGCGTGCAGGTGGGGCGGGGCCTGGGTGGGGGACCCTGGGGGCCGGGGAGCTGAGTGGGGGGCGGGAGTGGTGCGGCGTGCCGGTGGGGCGGGGCCTGGGCGGGGGCCCCTAGGGGCCCGGGAGTTGAGGGGCCGGGCGGGAGTGGTGCGGCG